TTTAGGTGACATTGCCCAAAACGTTTTTTTTTTGGTTTATGTTATACACACACAATAAAACATGGCTGATGTGAATGTAATCAATATTTTTCTACTACAACTGAAGTAGTAAGAAAGACATCAGAAATATTTTACATGCAGTATGGACATATTGTGTGGTTACGAGTTGACAGATAATCAAGTAGCCTTCAGTGATGTGGACTAATGTGTTAATGCCTTTGAATGTGCAGTAGATGATCCAACATATTAGATAGAAATTTGAAAAATGCTGTGGTGAAATTCCAGAAAAACAGTAACAGTTCTTTCCCCAAACTGTGCACAGTTGGAGCTAGCACACAGCAAATAATTTTGTTCCTCTCAGCCATCATGCCAGGAATATTTGTCCATCCTGTTTCACCCCACTGGATTTTTTTTCAGTCTCTTATAATCCTCCAACCTGAACGGCAGGGGTTTGTCATAGTTAAAGAAGCATGCTGGAAAGGCAGACTGCATCATGGAAAGGCGCTGCAGTGGGGAGAAGTAACAGACGGAGCAAATGAATCAAACACAACCGGACGTAAAACATTCAATAGAATATGACAGAGGTCACAGCGACCGAAGAGACTGCAATATTACAGCTTCGTTCAAACACGAGCATGAGCATGGAGGTACAACAGCTGTTGCTTTAAGAATTACAATTATTGAACTTACTGCTGTACTGTATATAGTCAGAAAATTATTTTGCAGATAATGTCAATCCAGGAGGACTGGTTCACACTGTATAAGCAGACTACTGAAATTCCAAAAAGTAATTGAGATACAGTTCAAAGTTGGGCCTTGCACACATGGCAAATTATGTTTAAGGTCGACAAGTGCAGAGCTCTGCATGCGGGAAGTAAAAAGAAACTATACAGTAGATAGAAAATGGGAAACACTGAGCTAGGCAAGACAACTTAGGAAAAAGAATTAGGTGTTTATGTTGACACATCATTTATATCTTCTAGACAATGTGGGAAGCAATAAAAAGGACTAACAAGATATTAAGATATATAGTTTAAAGAGTGGGCTTTAAATCAATGGATGTTTATTAAAATTGTATAATGCACTAGTAAAGCCTTACATAAACTCCTGTGTACAGTTTTGGTTACCAGGTTATAGAAAAGAAAATATTTTATTTTACTTCTATTTTTTGTTTTGTTCTATGTTAATTTTATTATTTTTATTTGCTTTGGCAACACTGATTGTACCCATCGGTCATGCTAATAAAGCACCTTGAATTGAATTGAATTGAAAAGAAATTGCTGATCTGGAATCAGTCCAGAGAAGAGCAACTCCAGGGCTAGAGGAAGCTCTGCACTAACAGGCTGGAGGAACTGAACCTTTTCAGACTTGAACAGAGAAGATTACAAGGGGACCTGAAGCAAGTATTCGAAATCCTCCAAAGCACTGAGAAAGTCAATCCATCCGAATGAGCTATGACACACGAACCAGAGGACACAACTGGAAATGATGAGGAAGTGAACTTAAAACTGAGAAGGGGAGTCACTTCTTTACCCAAAGGGCTTTTAGAGTATGGATAAAAACAGACATGTTATTGAAGCTGATAGCCTAACGTCTTTCAAGAAACAGCTGGATAAACAGCTTGGGTTAATTAGCTACTTTTAACCAAACAGGAGAGGTGGGATGAATGGCCTCGTTTATACTGTAACCTTTCTTATGTTGTTAAGAGGCTTCCAATACATGTTATAATGAGAGTATAAATAAAACACACTTACAAGAACATGGATATAGAACATGTATATAGGAAACTAAGAGTGAGTAAATTAAAATGCATAATACTTAATTATACATTATGAATCTATTATGAAATATGATGGCATACTAGGTAAGAAATTTACTCAGTAAATTTACTCAGTACTGATCAGTTATATTATACTTAAGATGTGATTTATTACTGTGTTTGTCGGGACTTTTGTAATTTGTTTTATTTGTTTTACATGGAGTAAATAAAAAAAATCCAAATTTCTTGAAGAAATACACCAAAAGGTACACAAATTATATTTTGCAGCAGAAATGATAAAACGACATTTATGATGTAAAATTCGACATCACATTTTTAAAACTATAGTTTAAAAAATAAACTGTTGTACTTTTTAAACTCCCCCTCCCCCCTTCTTATATTGCCTCTGGTTTATACAGCACCAGAGAATAAGGAGCAGCTGCTGAATACGAAACAAAATGCACACTGGACTACAATCCTGTCAGAAATACTCCACTCCTGATCAGAGAACATCTGTGTACATCTCTTTCCATTCATGCTCTGCTATTTTCCAGTTGAAGCTATGCCTTTGTGCTCAAGTTACAAAGCAATCTACTTGCCTTTTAATTATCTTGTTTTTGCTCATTGCGGCAAAATATTCTATGACAACGGTATTATCCAAAACGCATCGCACCTGAGAGCATTCACAGGAGACACGCCAAGCTAAGAATTCTTTGAATCTGGAGAACATAATATATTATCTAACAGCATAGGAGCAGAACTGGGAGTCAAATTCTTTAACATGATTTTAGGTCAGATGACATAAAATACACAAAACAGACAGATGTGTCTGATGTGGGCATGAGGAATGACATCTCCCCATAACCATGTGAGATGCTGAATATGCTCTATCTCAGATTATTAACTTTAGGATATTGTTATATACCCGTGTAGAAATACCGATAACACCTACTGTAATACCATGAGGTGCAAACTATTCCAGAGACAGTACTGTACTTCCCATGAAGCCTTGTTCAGGTTATGGGTGCCTTTGCCCTCTCCACGATGGCTGACCAGGGCTGCCAGTCACAAAGTGGCCACTGCCTGCAATAACTGGACCAGGAAGCAGCTACAGTATGTGCCCCTTTCTAGTCTACATATTGTTAGTCAATTGCTGAGCCACCAGAAATGAGGATGCTGTCTTGGTGGAAGAGAGTACATTTTCTGTTTTGTTTTTCGTTAAATTCAGTGTTTTGCCTGTGTGGAAAAGTGTTTGCCTGAAGGGTGGGTACTAGGACAATAACTGATAACATCCTCAACCAATCATTAGCTGTGATGTTACACCAGAATAAAACTCATGTTCATGGGTTAACTCACTGGCTCCTCACATCTCTCCATCTGAACTGGCAATCTGACTTTTCCATTCATGCGCATGACTGCCAGCAGTCAGAGCTTAAAACTTTATTTCAAGATGTCTGGCCAAGAGAGTGAGTCAGTACAGAATTCTGCCTAAGATATTCTTTCTGGACGTTCACAAACCCAGTGTTATTTTCACCCGGTTAACAAAATAAAACAGCTGTACTACAGTATAGCCCGGACGAACCTTGTCTCCTATCGTCTCACTTGCGGCCAGACCAAAAGAGCAGATGCTAACTTCTAGCACAGCTGTCCTCAGCAATGCTTCACCTTTACTGAGAAGATCTTCAGTTTTTCCAGCTGACATTTGCTGCCCACCAGTAAAATTTTCTGCCATTATTTTGCTTCAGGGAAATTGATGTCAACTGGAGCACAATAAAAAAATGAACCCTCCTTCTTTAAATCCATTTAGTATGGAATCGTGTAACTTAAGGGAAATTCTGGTAACTGAAAATAAAAATAACTAAAATATAAAAATGTTTTATATATATAAATATTATAAATGATATTAATTTATGGAAATAAGTATATTTATACAGCTTGTAGTGGTACCTGAAAAAATAAGGTACATACTGTAACCACCTTCTTCACAGACATTTCCTGCATTGAATTTTCAGTCACGTTATTGTTATTTTTGGAAAGTTTTGACGCTCTTGTTTTAAGTACATTGCACTTGCAAGGTTCAAACATAAGTTGAACAAACATAAGTGATAATAAACATTTAATTTTGATTCGCCATAGTATTTGTCTGTTTACCACATTTAGCTACAGTGTACTCTTAGGTAAAAAATACCAACTTTTTTCCGCTCATGGCACACCTTGTTAAAAATGATTAAATCACTAAACATCACTTTCTCAGAACTCAAAAATAAATTAAAAATCATTTTAACTGCCCCCTTTCATGATGTGATTAAGAAAATCCAATATTCTAAAAATCCTTTTGAGGTATTCATTAAGGGATTTGGATTTTAATGATAAATTTAAGGAATTATTAGCTTCACATGTTTAGAATATTATTCATTATCAGTGTGCTGCAGCACAGCAGTTGGGAAATGTAAGTCTTCACTGTTCACCTGTTCCAGAGTGGTGCTGTCCTGCAGTTACTGACTGGGGAAAAATGGTGCAGCATGCCACCTCTGCACACCACAGCACGCCTACGGACACCTCGCTCATTCGAGAGGGCTGCATCTGCACGTTAACTCCAGCTGCCATCCCTGAGTGAAGATCTTTTCACTTCAGAGCAGACCTTTTCACAAATATATTCTGTTACATTTGTTGTTTAGTGATGCATGTTTTGGTGTTGTACCAATAAGTATATAGAGTATATTGCATATTTAAAATCCACGTTTGAGACTCCTTACAGTTGTGACAGTGGACCAGACCTCCCACTCCGCGGCGCGTCCGTCCACACCGGACGCTAATCAGGGCTGCGCTTTAAGATCCCCACATGCCCGCAGACGGCGTTCAGTTTAGGACCGAATGTGTTCCCTTCACCGGCGACACAAACAATTACTCCGAACTAAGAAAGGTTTCCTTCCTATACCAGAGAACAGAAACCTCTGCTGACGACTACACACCGGCACACCTCAAAGGATTAAGAGGAGCTGTGCCGGTACTCAGGCAGCTCCCCATCAGATCTGACTCTATCACACAGTCATCAAAGAGCTCTCTCATTTGTAATTTCTAATTGTTACTGTAAATTAAAACCCTCACATCACTACACATACATACCAATGAAAATGATCTTAAATTTACTCAAAGAAGGAATAAAATAATGAAAAGGCAAAAATCTTAAACGAAAACGTTTTTTTTTTTATCCTGCCTAACCGTTTAGTCAACTCATTACCTCTCCTGCTTTGGTTTCTTGATACGCAAATTCTACTGCTGGGATCCCAAGATGGTTGGCAAAGTAGTCCACATCACCCTGGGTCTGCGCAGAGCTGACGTATGAGCCAGAGCACTCTCCATGCCTTGTGCAGTTGAAGGTTGGCCACTGAAATAGAAACGAAAATGTTTCAGGCTACGAGTTTGCTTATTACGCAAACTTTAATCTGTATCATTTAGGATTAATCTTTCAGGGTAAATGTAAGGGTCACACTGGGTAGTTCAGACGAGTCTTGTTTTTCAAACAGTTTGAAAATAGTGGAAATAGTGGAATTTGAGGCCAATCATTGGCGCTAAATGGTTTTACATGTTGAAAGTATTTTTGTAATGCAAGTCAACACCTGGCGGTATAATTCCACGCTAGTTATGTAAATTTAAGCACATTCACTTATTTTTTTCATCAGTATGAGATAAAACAATACTGCACAGATTAATTTCTAAGCTTCATCAGTGCTATAGCACAAAACCTGAATCTCTGATTTTTTTTTAATTTAATGTACACGGTATCAAATTACTTACTAATTACTTAGGAGTCTCAGTTATTCTGCTTAGCCAGCTGAAATCAGACAGGATGTATCTAAGATATGTATATGCTAACTGACTACTTGAGGATCACCTAAATAAAAACAAGAAAGAAGTTATGAGCTGGAATTTAAATTATAGGAATGTAAATGACATAAAAGAACAATTCTAATGGAGTTTTAATTTAAAATTTACATATTTAAAAGTTTTGATTCTTTGGTGAATGTATCTTGAGATGATTTTCTTTATCCAATGGACTTCAGTGTCCATCCCAGGGTTTAAAATTTTTCTAGCAATAATGTGTTAGAAATCGTGCAGCACAGCACGCAGACTCCCCTGGTGTCCTTTTCATTAGAAAAAAGATCAAAGTATTAAGAATTCTCTGCGATGCTTTGTCCTAACAGAAACAATACCCACAGGACACTGTGACACACTTAATGTATTTTAATTTTTTGTTTTTGTTTTTCTTGTCTGAAGCCCTGGTGGCTTTGAAAGCTTTTTAATCCTGGATTCTGCCTGCCGGCCATGGTTTATTATCAATATCCTTAATTGAATTAGTCATTTGTTAAATTTCAACAGATTGTTTATTCGAATATTCCAAGCACTTCTCTGTTGTGTTCTGCACGTAGCCTGCAGTCTTAGAACTGGAGCCTACAATATAAACAAGCCACCCCTGATGAAGATTCCAGTGCTCTGATGTACCGTAAGTAAAGCTGATATACCTCACCTTCTCTGCACTAATCTTCAAAACCTTGGCACACCAAGAAAAAACATGGTTTGTTCTCCAGGAACCACAAGTAATTTGTATCCTATATTCCTACAACTCTTCACGTGCCCAGTAGACTCACTGTTACAAAATCAGACTCATCAAGGTTAGTTCTCACGGGGTTGTTGTTAAACCATCCACGTGTTTGCAGGTAGTGAGGGCTGCAGAGATCTGGAGTCTGACTCAGCAGCTGCAGGGGGCATGGCAGGGCGTGGCATTTTGATGATGGACAACTTACAAACAAAGCCACTCCCTGCCACTGAGAAGAACATGCAGACTCCCCCTCCCCAAGCCTGGAATTGAACCCAAATCTCAAGAGCTGGGAAGCAGGAGGAGATTTGAAGAAGCAAAACGCGACATTGTTGTCTCTTAGTTGTCTATGCATTACAGAGTCAGGACAGTCTGATGTATACTGTACCTACACTTGAATTAAAACCTCATCTTCCTGTTTTAAGGGGAGCTGTCTGCATGGTCAGTAGCATAATTAAACTGAATGTTTATTTATCATGCATCTAGTTCAACTGAACACATGTTTAAGTGCCATTTCAGTTCTCTCTGAATATATGAAATACCAATGGAATCACATTGCTGTGTTTATTGCTTATCTAACCTGTTCTGACTATGCATTACATACAGTATATAACTGCTATTCATCTGCCTTTCTACTACAGCTTTCTAAAGGGCATAGCAATTTAAAATGAAATCTGATTCACTTTAATACAAATGCTGACGTCTGGGAAGCTCATAGTGATAATTCTGAAGAACTAAAACTTAAATGTGAAGTGTCTGTAGGATTCAATAGTGAATGGGACCAGAATACAAACTGGGAATGTAATGCAAATTAAGCAAATATGAATACACATGCTGTAGGCACAATTCATGCAAGAGAAATAAAAACATTGATCAGAACGTGAATATTGGACATATGTGCCCTTTGCTTCATACAGAGCTGAGAATCTTGATTTCCTTTTAAATGATTTCAGTATCCAAGGATCCGAGTAATTCATCGCATATGGCCTCGATGATGTTGACATCAGGACTGGCTGTACCTTGGGGCTGCCACTGAGAGAGCTGAATCCCTGCCCCATGAGACACATTCCTGAGGGAATGACACAGACGACAAAACTCTGCCTGCGGCTGCTGGTGGTCATAGTGCCTCTTATTTCAAGCAGATCCCCAGTACCCTTGACCCTGCTCATGTAATAACTCTTCACCATGCTTTGCTGTCACTAATGTGCACTGACTAATGACCCACTATCCAGCCCAACATCAAAAAGACCGATGTTCATTACTGACTAAGCTCAAAGTCGGACTCGCCTGTAAAGAACATTCTTCTCCAGGTTTGATCACCCCCGAGTGATCACTGTTTCGTTTAGCCCTTGTCTGCTCAGCCCTGTTGCTTTTGATGCCTCTTCTCAGCAGCTTGCCCACAGAGACCACTTTGTACTTAAGCGTATTTGGCAAGTCCTAGCCGTGAAGAAGCCGTGAAGAACCTCTACAGTACGTGTAGCAGGATTGTTTGCAAGGTCCAGACTGTCACCCAGAGAGTTTTGCATATTGTAGCACAAACATGCTACTGTACCATGCTCTGCCTTGTATTTCCTTTGACCAACTTAAATCTGGAAAACTAGCAGAAGTCAACTTTATTTTGTCATTTTATGAATTTCAAGATGTTCTTTTAAATCTCCCTGTTAGCCTTAGTTTCCCAGTCTGCCATCATAACTCATTTTCACCAGCTCTAGAATGAACGTGGCTGCTCTCCTCTGGTCTTAATGTGATGCGATGGAACCTTTTATTCTAGGACGTGACAGTTTTGGGACGCAAACTAATTAGGTCATTATGCACATTCAACACATGCTCTTTCGGCTTGTCCTGTAAATTCTTTACTACCTACAGTAGCAACGTATCCTGAAAACCCTTCATTACACTTCTGCTGATTGCTCTTGCTGTATTAGAGGAATCTTCCATTTTTCCCCCATGCCCCTTTGACTGGTCTGTGATGACTGTGATGCTTGTTGTGAAAGTGAATTCCACAAAGAATAGTGTTAACTGTTGGTAAACGGTTTGACATGAACATTAATTAATATATTTTTAAACTGTTTCAATGTGCAATACCATCATAATGCAGTTCAGTATAATAATATCTTGTGCAATCCATAAATCACAATACTGTATTTCCTTTTTACTATATTACTGCACTTGGACACATTTGTCCTTGAAAGCTGGAACTGGTATATTCCTTCAGATTGATGATCTCCAGACATTAAATCTTTAACAGAATGTTTGAATTGACATTAAATTATTTCTGCTCTTGCAAGAAATTTCTAATCCCAGTGGTTTTATAATACTCCTTCAAGGCTGTCTTTGTTTCAGCATGTGAACGCACTATCAACATTTTTCAAACTACTGTACTTGACTGAATATACAGCAGGATCTTGGGAAGCCTTTGCCAGCAAGAAAGAGGCACAAGGCAGGAGTTATTACATATAACAGATATGGTTTAGAAGAACTATGTTTTGAGTTTCTAGGTGAAGCTGATTCAGAAACAAAACTTATTTTGAATCATTTTCTTCGGTTTGGGCTCCATCACTCTCAGTTACACTGCCCAGCTGTTTGCAGTCAGGTTAGTTTATCGTAAGGGTTGGCTCTCTGGACAATGGCCAGACAAAAGTCAGCTAAGGGAATTCAAATCCATTATTTTTCCTCACCGATCCGCTCTTTTCACAGTTCACTTGCAGGTCAACAGAGAGTGGTTGAGCTGGAAAAACAAATTTTGTTGCTGTGCATGTTGTTCTTTTACAGTTACTGTACTTCAAAAGTTCAGCCTTGTGCATAATACAGCAGTATTTTCCTAGCCTCTCCTTTCTGAATAATTGAGCTGTGCAATATAGAATATTCATGCTGGCAGATGTCATCAATGCGTGATATGTCTGACGAAGTTGGTTTATTTACTGCGCCCTGCTAGGGTTTCTTCACAGGGAGCTAGCATAGACCACTGTGCAATTAGCACCTAGACCACATGGCAAATTAACATGCTTCCAAGTTTTCAGACATCGCATTTTCTTATCACAAAGACGCAATCTTTCTTTTCATAATCAACAAGAAGTTTCACGTACTTCTGTAGCTGGAAATCTAGATAATATAGTTTAAAAAACAAAACAGTTCAAAATCAGTGACAAAATCAAGCCCAGGTGGGATCATAAAGGAGTCCATTTCAGAGACCAGAATAGAAGCATTTACAAAGCACTGACCAAAAAAAAAAAGGCTGGGGAACAGCTCAAACGCCATACTGCTGATGATTACAGCTTAGCGACCCTCAGTCCCTACAACCTTTATGTCTTACAGTATGTCCTCTCTACGGCCTTTATGTCCAGCTCTCTTGAGCAGCGAGGGCCCCAGAGTGGGCCGACTGGTGGACCCAGCCCACAGGTTTGTGTGGAAAGAGGAAGCACCTGGATGTGAGTTTAAAAAACCCAGAACAGGAGGCACATCTTTGCCTCCTGAGAGTATGAATAGAAATACACAGACATGCTGCTAAAGCTGATAGAGTGCCCCCCTTCAATAAACAGCTGATTGAGATCCTTGGATCAATTAGTTACTAACTACCACACAGGCCGGAAGGGCTGAACAGCCTCATCTCATTGTAACCATTCTTATGTAGCATCCATTCATCCGTTTTCTAACTGCGGGTCGTGGGGGAGGCAGAGCCTATCCTGCCAAACAACAGGTGCGAGGCAGGGTACACAGTGGATGGACACCAGTCCATTTAAAGACAGAAAGACACAGATACTCACACCATGGCAAATTTTCTAAGAAGCCAA